TGCTGGCCCATCCAAGGGCTTTGGATGCTGAACTCAGGGGAGTCGTGAAAGCGAAGGACGCGCGGTTTGAAGCAGATCGGCTGGGATTCGTCCTGGAAGCGCAAGGATCTGCTCAGCAGCTCTACCTTGAGCAAGGACAGAGCAGGATCCAGAACGCCCTGAAGCAGGCCGAGCGAAGCGCCTTCGAGTTGTTCCAGAGGCAGCTGCAGAATGATCAGGCCCACTTCCGGTCGAGTCTTGGATGCACATACATGCGTGTACTTCAGTGTGTCATGCTGCAGTTGGTTCCTCTTGCTGCTGGATATGGCAATGACAATCTTTTAACAAATGCCTTAAGGGAGATTCTGAGAACGTCCGGTGATGCGGAGCGCAAGCGGCAAGCTGCTGTGTCGCTTCTGGAGGATTGCTGACTGTTGACCTAAGATAGTAGCAGTGGCCAGCCGTGAGTTTCGTTTCTATCCGATTCTGTCCATGTCTGCCCTGCAGACGCTGCATAAGACCGGGTGGATGCAGATCCGCAGCTACGGGGAGGAAAACTTTCCGGTGTTCAATCTCATGCCGAAAAAAAGGACTGGGGTTGAGCGCGACTACGAGGTGAAGCCTTTGGATCCCCAGCTCCAGCCCTGGCTTGCCTCGTCCTTGACTGGCTTGCAAGGTGGTGTGCGAAATGGAGGCAGTGAGCTCGTGGTGTATGTGGCTAACCTGGTTACCCAAGGTGTCGTCAGTGCACCGAAGGTGAGCTTCCTGGTTCAGTCCTTGCAGAGTGGTGCTGCCAATATGCCGAACTCCTTTGTGGGTGTTGTCTTCATGCCCAACCGGGCGTGTGATGGACGAGTGAAAACGTGCCTAGGTAGCAATGACTCAATGATTGAACAATAATGTAAGATGAATAATATCCCAATCCGACTGAGGTGTGGTTCTCGTAACCAAAAACATTCTAAAATAAAGAACACTTAATTAAAGCGAAAGCTGCTTTCCCTCCCAATGTAACTATGAAGGGTCTACATAGGTAGCTGTGTTTGTATTGCAAGAGAACTGGTCTTTAAGATGAACACGAACCGATATGAATGGACTGAACTCACGACGACTAATACCTGCTTCCCGGTGCCATTCGTTGTCGAACCTTTCGGAGGAATTTAGCTTTGAGGAATGGGAACAAACAGGGACGAAGGTTCAGAATGACTGGGGAAGGGGGTGGATGGGAGGGCACTTTTTTCACACGAAGCTGTGCATACATGGGATCTTTTCAGTTCGTGTCGAGCCTTGCTCTCGTCGTCTTCTGCTAAGTGGAGGCATGCAAACTCCAGAGAGGTTCAGCCGTTTCATTGGCATCTTCATGTATTTCCCGCATCCGTGAGGAGGGCACTTATTATAAGGAGGACGGTCTTGCTGCATCAGCCGAACAATCCAAGGAAAGAGCAGCAGGAGCAGGAGGAGGACGAGATGAACAAAGACGTGGGCGAGGACGATGGCAACGATGCCGAGAATGAGGGTGGGAAGCTACCCAAGGCGGAAGCATCGTTGGCGCTGAGAGATTTTAAATACAATCTCCTAGTCACACTTCAAGAGCCGGCAAGGGGACTGGAGGTCCGGGGGCTCACCGTCATATTTGATGATGCAACGGTCTACGGCTTGCGAAACGCCTTCCATGAAGCCTGGCTCATCACCAGCACACAGGCCACCAGCTTGACCCGGAAGACCCTTTTCAAAAGGCTTGTGATCGACAAGGTTCCGATGTTGCCTCGCGGGGTGGCTTGGTCTGCTTCCTTTCACGTTTTGGAGGGTAGTATAATCTGTGTTTATGAGCCAAATGTTAGAGTTACAGTTGAAGATGAAAAGTTGGAAACCCCATTGGAAACCCAATGATTCATGGCCTCAAGTTTAGTAGTGTATAAGGATGTTGAATACCAACACTAATTGTCCTTAACCAGATTTTGATTTTTCTGGGATACTGTAAGCTTTCAAATTTAGTTCCCATGATACACCACAAGAAGCTTGATGTGCGAACGAGTGTATGACTGAGGAGATGGTGAAAGTTGAGGTCGGTCGCAAAGTTTGTGCGGATACGGATCGGCTGTCAGCGGCCCAGGACACTCTTCGTGTTGAGTTTCAATGGCTCTTAGCACTTAAATCAAGAAACATGTTTGTTTGCTTGGCCTGGCAGGAGATGAGACAGCACCTTGCCGGGACCGGGTTCATGAAGCGGGTGCTGCATGCATTGGAAATCACCAAATCGCACACGGTGATTGTGGACCTCTTCGGCCACGACGGATGGGTTGCACTTGCAGCCCTGCAGCTGCAAATGGAGAATGCAAAGTGTGTTTGTGCCATGGTCGCACACACCGACGTGGAGCACAAGTTCTGCAAGGAATTCTGAAGTTTAAACAGTCATGGCACGCTCAAGCCCTAAAGTCCACCCTTGTTTCATTCTGTGGCTTTGACTTCAGGATGTGATTCTGCACTCCTTGTTCAGCAAGGCGAAGGCGAAGCAGATGGTTATCAATGGATTTCCCGACTTTGCCGCCGCCATGTCGGATCTTTCGAAGGTGCACACGAGCGAAGCCCGGTCGGATTACGATTACCAGGTGACTGTGCCGGTGGGTGAATGCCTGATCGTCCTCCAGGTGCCCGGAGGTTTGGGGTTTCAGGTGAGGTGTGGCTGGCAGCTGTTAGTGCTGTGGCGAGGCGCTGAAGAGCAAATTCGAGGCATCCGAGGTGGTGTCCGATGACTTCCGTGCTCTCCTGGAGAAGCACGACCGCGACTTCAACCGAGAACACAAGACGGCCAGTGGGCCTGCGCC